TTAACGAACGAAAAATTGCCGAGCTCATAAAACAGACATGCCACAGACAAAGTAAACAATGAAAACAGCTAAAGTTTTTATCATACTTCGGGGGCATGTATACCAACATAATAAAGAAAATTTTATGACAACCGGACCCTCCGAACCGGCGAAATTTAACAATTCCCGTTATTTTTTGAACACACCTCGTATATAGGTACTGCATACACAAATGCATAAATTATAAAAATAATAATTGCAGTATCAGTAGTGGGGAAGCAATCGTAAGAGAAGTAGAGAAAAGATGACGAGAGAATATTCTGAAACCGGTTAGTTATATAAGTCATGCAGCTCAGCTACGGCAGAGTATATGAGCATATGAATTAGACTCATTAAGAAAAGGAAGGTAATTTTTTTAGTAGTTGTATTTTAGGGTTAATATTTACAACGGGTATTTTAATTAAGTTTTTCCCATTGAATAAAAGTTATGCATATTTGGCGCCTGTCATCCACATAGTTAAATGGTTTAGCAAGTGTTACACAAAGCATTCCAAGATTTTCTGGAGAGACAAGATACAATACAAATGCTTTTTCTAGGCCTTATTTAAATTATACGTAGTTTAAAAAATGTACTCTGTACAAAATTTGTATTTAATTTAACAGAATTCGTTAGGGTTGTTTTTACAGTAATAACGTATGTAACAAAAGTTTTGAGACAAAAATTATAAAACCAACATTTATTTAAATTTTGAGGTTTACTTAAACTGTATAAAAGGTTAATATTTGACATACATTCTTAACAATAAAAATATTTTGTTCTTAAGTCCTCATCCTTTATAGTAAACTTTCCTACTTAATAAGGCCCAAAATTCTTCAATGGGTCGTGCTTGGGGATTAGGTGGATTATCTTGTTTGGGTACAACATTATTGGCTTGTAACCATTCTCTAGTTTCCCTGGCATAGTGGCAAGAAACTAAATCAGACCAGATCATAATTTCTTCATTATTGTGATGATTGTTTATAAATATTAAAACAATTTAGGCAAACATCTTTGTTTATAAAGACCTGCTGTAACGGCTTCACCTGTAGATTCATGATGAATCATTCATCGACTTTTTCTTTTGCACTTTCTCTCAGTCTAGCTGCTTTGATATCTGTCAATATCCGAGGCCTTCCACTTTTTGGTAAGTTCATATAAGGTATTCCTTTCTTACATTCCTTTATTGTCCTGTAAATTGTTGCACATGAGATATTAGGTCCTTGAAACATGTTAACAATATCCGATTTTAGCATTGGGCCAACTAAATTATAAATGCTTTTTCGGATTTCGGTTTGTACGCCATGACACACAAGTTTTATTAATAGAACTGTCAATATTTATGTTGGCAAGGCCTAAATGAATACACTTTAGGCAAAGGTAACTAGATGCTGATTTTCTTTTACTCTTTTAAAAGAGCTACGAAGCGAACATAGATTAAACTTTATCTAAAAAGCTGGATCCATTTTTTAGAAGTACAATTGTACAATTCTTTAAAGGGTCACTTGCGAAATTAAAGTTACCACAAAAAAACTTTCAAATTTAAAATTCTGATTGGCTAGATAAGCTTTTCTTTGGATCTAACAATACTTTAAATTCAAACATCCCAATAAAGAAATACCCAAAAGGCCAAAAGGGACCTACAGCAAAGATCAAAAAGAATAAAATCTTTAGAACTAAAAGGTCAATTAGGTGTTGAAGGCGTTGTTAAATCAGCACATAAAAATGCTGGTACAAATTCAAATAGTAGAATTTTGAGTATTTCATTTTAAGAGAGTAGGTACATAATATGTATAGGTACAATTTTTAATATTATTAAAAATTGTACCTATATATAATTATATCAGAAAAATGGACTACAATATTTACTAAACAATGGTAATCTTTCTGATGTATGGGCAAAATTTAACTAAATTCAAATTGTATATACAAATCAAAATAAGGCCATTAGGACTCCGTAAATATAAAATTCACATCCATGCTCTAATATTAAACACAAAATATGCGGGTTACACTGAAAAATTTAAACAGTGTGCTCTCCTATAAAAAACTCTAACTACCCTTAAACACCTCCTTGCTGAAAGTTTAACGTAGCTTTTTTGCAGTTTAAAACTAACAATTTAAAAAGTTTCTCGCTGAATTTTAAATAAACCTGTCGTGTATTCTATATACGTCCTCAAGTTCCAACTAGCATTATCAAACTGTAGCCTTAAAGAAGGGAAAAATTACTTTCTTAAACCTAAGAGACAAAAAGATACTTGCGTAAAGTGTCACGTGGTAACATTAAAAAACATTGTACCTACTACAAAGTGTGTACTTAAATGAAACGAGGCCCAATTTGAATGCTCCAAAATTAACCAATTAACAAAGAGGTGGAATTAGAATTCCGAGAGTGCAACCCATTTTAAATACCGGTGAAAACGTAGCGGCCTTTTATATCCACCAAGGACTTTTTTATTTATTTGAAACTCCTGCAAAGTTGCAATCCCATGGGATTAGACTTTTTAAAAGATAAAACGTGCCATTAATCATGCATTTGCTATACTTAAATAACTTTAACAACGTGTTACAATTATTTAGATATTAAGAGACAATTTTTTTTCACAAGATATACGTGATTTCGTTAAACTCCTTTTACAGTAAAATATCTTTTTCGATTCCTATACAACATTTGGTTTCTAAAGCATATAAATGATTTGGCTTTATTAGCAGGAACTCACATGGATTTAAAAAACAGAGAATAAATTCTTTGTACTTCTATTTAATACGATTAAAAATTGAATATTGCTCTATAAATTGGTCAATAACTTTATTATGAAGCTTAAAAATATATACCTGGCCAGTAGAGTATGGAAAAGCAGTTATTACTTGACCGTTGATTCACTTCAGTTTTGAAAAGTTCTGGTTTAAAATTTGTGTACAAAGTTTTCCACAATAAAGCTGGCTGTTGTGATATTTTATTTATGTTTAATCTATTTGTTCCTAGACTTAATTCTTGCCATAACAACATGTTTTATTCATTTAATTGGTTTAATGTGAACTTTATTATTTTTTTATATTTTATCCTTTTATAGGGAATGTAGTTTTTCTGTTGCGCAAATATTCATTAATATTAAAATGACCATTTTATCCATTGCTATTCTTAAGTTAAAAAAAGCAATATTTCAAAGTTAAAAAAACTCCTAAAACTACTCGTATAGGTATAATAAATAACCATGTGTTTCTTTATTTTTAAAATTTCTCGATTCATTTGTATTTAACAAAAAGTTTTTAATTTAATAATGATATTGTTTTGTATAAAACACTACCAGATTATAACTAGAGCCCGGATTTTAGGTAAAAAACGTTTAGTTGTTTTTTTTTAGGTTTTAAAGATATTTTTTTGTATTTGTCCGTCTTATAAAAAGTGTAGTCGCCTGACCAAGTTTTATTTTTCCTAAAATATTTTTTTCAATTTTTTTCATCTATTTTACTTTTTTGCAACGAAATTGTCTTTTTTACCTAAAAGGTACTTTTTACGATTACATTGACTAGTTTACTTTTTGAACAAAATTGTGTTTTAAAATGAAATTAAAATCTTTTGACTTTTTTGTAACTTTAATGAACATTAAAAGGTTAATTTTTTTACCTAAAAGGTACTTTTTACGATTGCATTGTCTAGTTTACTTTTTAAACAAAATTGCGTTTTAAAATAAAATTAAAATATTTTGACTTTTTGTAACTTTAATGAACATTAAAAGCATGGAACCTACACAAGGAGCCCGAACTTCATGTAAACAAAAATCTTCCTAAGATAAAAGGGCGCTAGTGTACTACCGTACCAAAACAGTAGAGGGGTATAGCCAGAGATGGCGCCACTACCTACCACTTATTATTGTGCAAATAATTGAGGTTATGCAACTGTCAGTTTATCGGTTTCTGAAAACAATGTACCCATGTACCTGGTTTTGTGTATAAAGGTCTTAATTTACAATAAATTTTATATCAAATTTAACATTGGAATTCATGTTGGACTTTCTGATGTAGAGCATAGTACAGTTTTTTATAAATACTTGATTTTTTCTATAAAAGAATGTCGTGTGGCGTTAAAGCGTGTAAAACTAACAGAATATTAAATCCATATGGTATTTATTTTTAGTTTTATAGGTAGATGGCTTAAATAAAAGTTCAATATAAACATATAAAGGTGGAAATTATTAATATGCTGTTTACTCATTTTATACATACTTTTTAATTTAAATTAAATTTAAATTATTAAATAGCGATGTATTTCTAACCTGGAAATCTAATTTTGCTTCTCCAGAGTCGTAAAATCACCTAACAGATTATAAAGAATCACTTATATTTCACAACCAAAACCTATTCATTAGCATCTACCTACCAGGTACAGCCATAAATAACAAAACGATTCGTACGTCAAAACATTATTGCAAATCAATTGTCAAAACTTACTTGCTTACTTCACATGTATTTTCGATACTACTTTCACGTCATACATACGCATCTACAATCAGCGCCGCTGGTGGTGAAAAAAAAGACTTAATTTGTGCAATTTAGTGGACAGGTTTTGTCAATTTTCCCTATTAAGTTCGGTCTCCTTGTGTAGGCTCCATGATTAAAAGGTTAATGATGGGGGGCCTGCCGAAGACGAACGTTATGTTCGCCAATTACATCCTGTGAATTGAATGCTCATTTTCTTGGTTTAAGAATGTTTTGACTGACAAACGCACCACTTCTAAAAACTTGGAGCAATCTTTTGTTTACCATGCAAATAATTATAATCTTTAAATAAATAAAATATTTATTATTTCAGATGTATTTTTTTTGTTATTTTTACTAGTGATAAGCCCTTTGGCAGACCGTCTTCATTTTTGTGGACAGGTTAAGTAATAATGAAAATACATAATATATTATATATCTATATGTTTATATTGTAATAAAATGTTAATAACTGTTGATACAGGGTATAATACAAATTCCTTATCTAATTAAATACAATGCTATGTAGAATTTTCTTTTGGTTTTTTTCTTCAAAACCTGCCAATACTTCTTCTATATCATCATCTAAATCTTCAGCATTTACAATCAAAGAACATAAATCTCCAATTAAGAAAGCTCCTACAGTTGCTTCGTCCAGATTGTCGGTAATGTCGAAATTAATTACGTGTACAATCGAATTTTCCACCACCGTCGCACTGTCCATATGCTCCAAAACCTGATCGTAAACTTTTTCCTCGCAAGTTATCAACAAATCAAATTTTTCTTTAGTATCCTGAAATCGCTCTGGAGTAGATTTTATTCTTTTATTACGCTCCAAAATATGTAATATACCATTTTCCGTATACAATGTTTTATTTTTATTTTGCAGATCTTTGAAGATTTCATCATATGTAGTTCCGAATTCGTAAACATTTGGTTTATCGGCTGCTTCCCCGGGTAACTTAACTTTTTCACCTGTTCCATAACTTTTTACATTAAAGCCTTTTTTGGACAAGAAACCATGAGCTTCCATACTTCTGTTCATATTACTTGAACAGATTACTGCTATACGGATATCATTTATGCTGGGCATTTTAAATAAATATGTTAACACCAGTTGAATATTCAAATCGATATAAAGGTAAGTAGCACAAATTATGAATTTAAGTAATTCAAATCTTATACCTAAATAAAGAAGTTTTGTAAGGTAAGTAAATAATCCTTTAAAAAGTAATTAAGCCTCATTTATTTATGGATATTAATCTTATACATAAAATCAATATTTTTTATTTTCGCAAATGATTTTACTTCATCAACGACATTCTTTAATCCCTTTTCACATAAAATTGTACATAATTCCAATATTAATGCTGCTCCTTTAGCTGTTTCTTCAAAATTATCCAATATTTTTATGTTAATTACATGACAAGTATGTGCACTATCAGGTTTTTTGTCTTCTACGGCTTTTAAAACTCGAAAAAACACTCGTTCTTCACATGTAAAAACAATATTAAAATTATCTGCACAATCTATAAATTTTTCAGGGCAATTTTTTATTTTTCTGTTTCTATCGAGCATTCCCAAAACACCATTTTCTATTTCTTGAGTTTTACTTTGCAATAAAGCTTCTTCGTAAATTCGTTCATATGGTGTATAAAAATCATAGGTTTTAGTAATATTTCCAATGAAAAGTCGTACCCTATCACTTGCACCAAAACTTTTAACATTAAAATTGTTTTTTAGCAGTAATTCATGTGCTTCCATGCTTCGATTTAAGTTGCTTAAGCAAACTACTGCTATTTTTAGATTATTTTTTGAAGACATTTTATTTCTTTTAATAACAAATAATGAAATAGTTTGTCTTTAAGTACTAAAACTTGAGGTATATTTATTAAAAATACTTTTACCTTCGTAGAAATTACCTAATAAAATCTACACTAAACATTTCTGACGAGTTGATAACAAAGAGCTGTCAACAATTTTTAGAAGTTTACTTAACACCGGCAAAGTTAATAATAAGATTTAATAGTTATTTATCAAGCAAGTTATAATTTAAAGTTTAAGACATAGGTCTTTTCAAAGATATTATCTTTGGGTATTATTACACATTAGAACTACATAACCTTTACAAATATTATTGTCAAAATAACTTAAAGGTTATAATATGTTTGGAAAACCTTCAAAATTCTAGTAAAATAATGTCTGATCGCAAAAGCTTCAAAATTGCGGCAATATGTGCAAGTAATATGAACAGGAGCATGGCTATACATGAAGTCCTTTTGAAACAAGGATTTTACGTTAAAAGTTTTGGAACATCCAAGAAAATATGTATACCAGGAGATGGCCCTAATTTAACACTACTATTTGATTTTGGAACTACTTACGAAGAGATCTACAATCAACTTAAAATAAAGAACTATGAAGTCTTTGCGAAGTTGGGTTTGTTATCCCTCTTGGAAAGAAATATGAAGATAAAAGAAAAAGCTGAAAGATTTCAAGATCACATGGAAAACTTTGATATAATCATAGCGTGCGATAAAAAAGTGTATCACAACGTGTTAGACCATATGGATAAGAAGACGCCTACAGACTTTTCTACTTGTCATGTTATTAATGTGAATATGGAAGACAGAATTGATAAAGCTTGTAAAGATGCCCTTTTTGTGGCCCACTTATGCATGGAGTTTAAAAAATGTAAAGATTTAGATTATGATATCAAAAAGATTGTAAAAAAGTATGAAAAATCTGGAAAGGAGTTTTCTTATAAGCTAACTTTAAATTGAATACCGAATGCAATATACCTACTCCTATAATTTGTAAATACATTTTAGTTTTTAATTCGTAATTATTGTTTTAAATAAATAACTTTAATAAATTGCTATAACAATAAATTTCCCAAAGTTTTCTTAAGGATTATTATAAATTTAAGACCAAAAGAACATTAAGGTTAAGTCTAATCCTTTTATAATGATGTTAAGAGGTAAATTAATTTGAAATTATAAATAATAGGTATAATATATTATAAGATTTCCATGGTTTATTATTTTTACCAATTTTATATTTTGGTTTGTTTGTTCTGTAAAAAAAATATTTATATTATAATGATATCATTGACCATATACAGGGTGTATCACGGTCGATGGTAGGTTAGACGTTTATGGAGAACGGCAAAAGATTTCGAATTGAAATTTTTATAGCATTTAAACTATTTTTCTAAATTATTTTGAACAAAATTCCTCTTCGGGTTTTAACGGAAGTGATATCAACTTTGTTATTTTAAATGGATCATCATATTTTTTTTACATTTTTAAATTCCTACTATCACTCCTTATAAAATGGCTATACCATGTCCTATAGCTAAACTTAATAGTTTTTGAGTTATTAATTTTTTTTGTAAAATTCGGTCAGTTTCACCCTCAACAAAAAGAGCTTATAACTTTTTTATTTTCAATGGAACGCCCTGTATATTTTTACATAATTAAATATGAAATAATAATACCTGAAATAACTATTCTCTATACCTAAAGTTAATAATAACAATGATATTTTACAATTCCTATTATTCATTATGTATTTCAATTTTTTAAATATTAATATTAATTTAAATTAATAAACAATACTGGTGTAATCTACGAATGAGTTTTAAAAATCATATGACAAGAAAATAATATTAATAATAAGAATGTTTTTTTTCGGTTTTTGTAAATAAAAGCACTCTCTAAAAATGAATTAGTCAAAAATGACTAATTTAATAGTTATTGGCTGCTTTTTCACTTGTACCATGGTTAACCATGGAATACCATGGTATCCCAAAATTTAACAGTCAATTCTTATGTAAAATTGTCCCCTGAATCCGAAAATGTCAAAAGTTAAGAAAGTAAAACAGATTTTGAGATATAGTCAATTTTCCATTTAATATGGAATTGACTATATCTCAAAAACTGCTTTACTTTAATAATTTTTGGTATACCATGATATTTCATGGTTAACCATGGTACAAGTTTAAAAGCAGCTACTAATAATTATTAATTTAGTCATTTTTGACTAATTTATTTTTAGAGAGCACCTAAACAAAAAGTAAATAAGTCGTTTTGTAGGTATGTGTATAAACGGTCTGATTGAACGCCCGGTACCTTCAATAAAAGGTATATTATTATTTACTAATAAGGTTAGAAATACATTAATTAAATAAAAATAATGTTTTAAATTAACAAAAATTGTTAATAAAATAGTTAAAAATCACTATTTAAATGAAGTTTTGATGAACTTGTTTATTCTTCATTGACAATATAACAAACTTATTGCTAGAAAATGCAGAAACTTTTTGTATGTTGTACCTTTAATTTGGTTACCTATCCATTAAGCATAAATATTTTCAACTTCTTTTGAGTAGTTATTTTCCTTTATTTTAATAATAATAAATATCGGGAAAGTTTTGTTATTCATACCAAATTAATACACATAAGCAACATTTTATCAGTTTTTCTTCATATTATTAGGTTAATTGAAAATATCTTTCTTAATATTAACTTTAGGTATATCGAATGGTTATATCAATGAAAAGGTATTATAATTTCATATTTAATTATGTAAAAATATATAGGGCGTTCCATTGAGAATAAAAAAGTTATTGCTGTTTTAAGTTAGCTACATTCACATTATTTTTTTACAAGTATCTTTTTAGAAATATTTTAATAATTTACATGGAACCTTTAAAACAGTGTTTTAGGATTTCAATAAATCCAACCGAATATCAACAAACCTTATATTAAAAAAGTTATACGCTTTTTTTGTTGAGGGCGAAACTGACCAAATTTTACAAAAAAGATTAATAACTCCAAAACTATTAAGTTTAGGTAAAGGACATGGTATAGCCATTTTATAAGGAATAATAGTAGGAATTTAAAAATGTAAAAAAAATTATGATGATCCATTTAAAATAACAAAGTTGATATCACTTCCCTTAAAACCGGAAGAGTAATTTTGTTTAAAATAATTTAGAAAAATAGTTTAAATGATATTATAATTGCTATCAAAATTTCAATTCGATATCTTTTGCCGTTCTCCATAAACGTCTAACCTACCATCGACCGTGATACACCCTGTATATATATATTATATTCACGTTTATACCAAAATCAATGGAGACCATAATTCAGAAATATCGCCAATTTTAATAGGCCGATAAAGTTTTTAACGATTTTATTTTAAAGTTGAAGATGAAATGAATTTTTCCAATGGTATTATTTTGGGGTGTTTCAGCTCACTTTGAAAGAGTATTTATATTATAAACAAAAATTATTAGATGCCTAGTTCTTAGATATTAAAAGTCCATCATATTCGTGTTAAAAAATATTCATTTTTAAAACTACCCTATTTATATATTTACAATTTAATTATATACATTGAAGAAAATAACGGTTTATTTATACAAAGGATATGCATAGTTACGGTACAAGAGGTAATAAAAACCTATATTGCCTTATTCCAGATTGTCTTTCAAGCCTTTGCTTATCAGCTTATAATATTTTAAAGAAAAAATAACACAATATTTTTTTAAATAAAATGTACTATTCTTTTTTTATCATTAAATTTTATAAAATGTACTTTTATTTTTTATTTTATTTTATTACAGTATTTAATATTAAGGGTCATTATTTTTACTTATTTTTATGTGACAAGTCATATAAGCAAGATTTACTTCGTAATTTTGTTTTACTGATAAATTATTTATTATTAATATTTTTATTATCATTATTAGTTATTAGGGTTTAAAAACTGAATTTTATGTTCTTAAAGATAATGTCATTTTAATTTTTTAAGAATATGTAGGTATTTATAAAAAAGGATTAAATACTATTTTATAATTACGCTTCATGACATCTCAAAAATAAAAATGTAACATTTGTTAATACTGATAAAGTAATAATTTTAATTTGGGTTTTCTGACAGGAACTATTGTATATTTTGTTTCCATAAGATGCGTTTTTAGATGTTTCTTAAATCAGCTCAGAAAATACACAGCGCTACCTTTTTTTTTAAATTAAACGCTTAATATTAGTAACTATATATTTAAAATAACTCCCACAATATTAATTTGACATTTTCCGGATATCCTGTATACAGTATACAGTACAGGCTTTACTTCTATTCATTCAAAAAAACGAAGCCCGTCAAAACAATATTACGCGAAGAACACAAATAATTTAGGTTATGTATCTGTCAGTTTAATGTAAATTTTGTATTATTTTCTATAAATAATATACATATATTTTTATATATGAAAGTCCTAATTTAGAACCAAAAAATACATAATATGTATTATTTTTTGAAAATAATACAATATGTATACAGAAAATAACACAAAATAAGCGTTAAACTGACAGATAGTTAACCTCAATTATTTTTTTTCAAATGTCAAGGTGAGACTTTTGGGTGTTGAGCATAGTAAATAAAATTGCAAATTGCAAAATAGTTACGCATTAAGCCTGAATCTATAACTTCCTTCCTTCCTTCCTCCCGTAGAATATGAACAATACGAAACCCAATAAACATTTTTGACGCAATTGTCACCATTAACATTTCCCGTGTAATTAAAGGTGTAACATAATTATTTGTTTTGCATTTAACTAAAAGGGTTTTCTTATAAGAAAAACGTTTAAGCATAAAAACTAAAATAAAATAATTCTCTTGAAGACAAATTTAAATGAATAAATCAATTTTCTTAAAACAAAACTAAAAATCAAATTTCTTAAAATAAATGTTAATAATAATTAATTAAAAACGTTTGTTATTGTTCCAATTGACGGAATAGAACGATCCGAATATTTAACTGAGAATAGGTCTCTTGTTTGACTTAGAGAATTGCCCACTAAAGACCAGCTTATCATTTGATATAATTTATTTATTTTAAAACGATCGAAATACACAATAGCAAATGCAAAATATGACTGAATCCTCTTATACAACACTATAATGCTTTATCGTGAGTTTGTAATTATTACTTTATTTTTGGGTATGACCATTTAGAAAACAATTTGGTCGTTATGACAGCACAATGCTGCCAAAATGCGAAAACCTGAAAACTAAAATCAATGTTGCCAAACGGATTCGGATTCAGCATTCAAAAGTTGACTGGAATTTGTTAATATGTACTACATATTATGTAGGTATGTAGGTATATTATTATAAAATTTTTATATAAAATTATGTTATTATAAAATTTTTATATGAAATTATGTTCAAGCAATATATATGTTTTTATTTGTGAAAAAGCACTGTTTGGGTTTAAAGCTTGATTTGATGTTTTTTCTTTAAAAAATATATTTTCTAAAAAATTAGTAATGTTGTGTTTTGCACATACCTATTTGGGCTAGTGCCTGGTTAATATTAATCTATAATTGAAATTTAGCGAAATTTACTCTTCAAGAGTTTATCAAATGAGCAAATAAACATTAATTCCGCAAACATATTTACTTTAGATATATGTACTTGCTTAGAAATAAAAAGTGGTGTACTATAATGGAAAACCCAGCGGGATATTCTCCTTATCAATAAGTGTTTGCCACTTAAAGTCTAGTATTTTTTTCATTATGAAAACAACAATATTTAACTTTGATAGATAAAACTACAAACAATTGATTTGACCTAAAAAGTTAAAAAACCGTAGGAGCTAAAATCCTGATAAAATAAATTACTACTGGTATAAATAAAAACCAACTCGAAACAATATTATTAATCAGTCAGTAAACTCGCTCAAAAATGAAAAGTATTTTAATATTATTCGCACTTTTTGTGCAATGTTTATGTGAAAATAACGTGACAACAACTTTAAAATTATGGGACAAAACTTTACCAACAAAGTCAACACTTCGTAACAACATGAAACCAGACTCTGTAACCGCTAAAGAAACTGTCAGTTTGCCACCAGACCAAGGAGGAAACTATGGAGACTTAATTTATAGAAGCAGGCAAAATGGAGATTCTTTACTGGTAAGAGATGTCGTTTTGATACCCAGTTTGGATGCCAATGAACAGGACTTTCAATGGTACACTTCATTACCCAATGCCAGAAGTATTTCATCTGTGAGGATGTTAAATATTGGAAGGCAACGTGCTTATACTTTAAGAATTGATGTTGCTGGACAAGACGCCCAGGTTGTTTTTAGAGTTCCTTCTTATGCAGATCCAAGGGTGCTTATTGAGGTGTATGGTTATTAAGTTTTAAATTAAAGTATTTTTTTATATTAAAATTTGTTTTTATTTAACATTTTTCTGTTTTGACGACATTCATCGTTAAAGATTTTTACTAATATTTTTAGGAAATTTATATTAATATATTTTTAGCCATAGTTAAAAATCCATTTGTATAAAATAAAATTACTGCCTAAAATCTACTTCTAATGTATTTCATACGACGCGTTGTTAACTTCCTAAGAGTTCTTGTTTTTTAATTTATTAATTAAATTCGAATTTTTCTTTTTTTAAGCTACAAGGTCGGTTAAATTAAATAAGTCTATTAAAATGGCATTTAAAACTTGGAAAAATTAAACCTATAAAACCAAAAATCATTATAACTTCGTTGTTTCTAAAAAAAATGATTTTGTGATTTTTTTGATTACCACCACCTTCTTTAGTTTTTCTACGGCCATGGTTGGAAAAAAATCATTAAGGTATCTAACGATGTATCAAACTACATAAGTTATACACCATGGTACTGATGAGATCTAATAATAATATTAATAATATTATTTAATCTTTTTCATCGTTCTATTGTAGCCAATTTATGTTTAGTATACTTTTAATTTATCTTTTTGACTTGTCATACTAACAATTTTCTGTTGTAGGTGGTTTTGTGATTAATAAATTAATTATTGATTTTTGAAAAAAAAATTGCCCCAAATATATTATTATTATTATTTATTTTTTTAAGTCGCTAACATTAACGGTTGTAGAAATATTAATTTTTATCCAAGAGTCCTGAAATGCGCGCTACAATAATACATCATACATATAACTGGAAACAAATTTTAGAACGCAAAAAGGCACTACTAAAAAATTGATTGTTTTGACTTATCCCCTTATACCTTTTACCCACAGACTTGATTCAAGCGCTTAAAAGACTGTAATGCCTTGCGGTACGTTTTTGATGGGCCACCTGTATATTTTGTTTAACTTCTATATTTTTATGTTTATTTTTTCTATTTAAGACATTTTAAAAACTTGCACAGAACAAACACTAATCAACTTGATATACAATGACAGTGTCAGTTTCATACAATTTCTAATAAGACATTACATGTTATTTTGACATCAATGAGTAGTGTCAGGAACTGTAGTGATAATAATTATCCTATTAATTTTATTAAACAATTTCAAAGGAGAAAATAGTAACCATTGATTCGCAAAACAATAATCCACTTATTTTCAATTCAAAATAATAATTAGGTAATTGGTTACTATTTTCTCAGTATAGTACCCATAAAGAAATTGTTTAATAAAATTAATAGGATTTAGAAAAACACAACCATATTTGACAGGGGGAGGGGGTCTAAAATCCTTTAAAAATGTTTAACGTATTTTGGGCACACCCACATCTCAGTTATTAGACATGGAACCCACATCAAATTTATATCAGTTTATAGACAAGTTCTGCGCAAGCAGAATTTAAATTAAAGTTTGCGAAAAAAAGTTAGTTTTTAAGTGTGCCCCCAGCCCCCCAAATTAAGATAATTTAAATTAAAGTGGTACAATATTTAATTCACTGAAGTTTATCAACAAATTTCAAATTTTATTAAAAAAATTCAAGTATTACAGGTTTTATACGATTTTAAAATTTTATTATTTCTTTTAATAAATTAAAAAAAAAATAGAAATAAATCTGGAATACTTGAATGTTTTTAATAAAATTTAAAATTTGTTGATAAACTTCAGTGAATTAAATTGTACCACTTTAATTTAAATTATTTTAATTTGGGGGGCAGGAGGCTGGGGGGGGGCACACTTAAAAACTAACTTTTTTTCGCAAACTTCAATTTTAATTCTGCTTGGACAGAACTTGTCTATATAATGTCATTATAAATTCATATAAATTTGATGTGGGTCCCATGTCTAATAACTGAGATATGGATGTGCCCAAAATCCACCAGCCGCCACTGGTACTTTATGGACGGCCCCTAAGGTTCAAAATTTATCATAGCAATTTTTTAATAAATATTAAAAACATAAAAAATTTATATAAAACTATTAAATTACCTAAATATTAATCTTAAACCTAGAAATATGTCTTATGGAATCAAAAGATAATATTACCTTTACCTATTTTCGTTAAATTAAATTCCAATTTGAACTGAGACTTTAAGTACATAATTTAATAAACTTTGTGAGTCTGGAATAAAACTTTACTAGACGCGCTTCATGTCTTGCTTAAATCGCAACTACAAAGTGTAGAATTTATTAGTATAATGCGAGTAATAGCTCTTCGCCAAATGAACGTGCACACAAAATTTGGCTTATCGTAGTGGCTTTTACAAATTTCAGCTTAGGTTATTACAGATTTAAATGAAAAGGAGCAAATGGAATACTAATAGACGTGATCTTTATGTTTTCTATTTACATTTTCTTAACATAATATTTACCTTTGGATTTATTTAAAGAACATTTTTAAAGTTAAAAATTTCAAAAATATAAATGTATATACATAAGGCTGATCAAACATCATTTTTGAATTATGCCTAAAAAAGCAAATCGGTATAGTGGTATTAATATCTCATGGCGGGTGACCTTGGGCGCGCAAACGTCACAAATCCGTCAAATCGCGCTATTACTCGCCGTCCTAAAAACATACTACCCCAGGGTTGGCAATGCTAGCATCAGCTGATATTTATTGACATATTTAAACATATTTATAATAGGCTAGAAATTCTATTATATTTGTTATATCATATTTGTCATATCATATTTGTTATAACTAATATTATATTTGTTATACGAAATGAATATCGGCAAAAAATAAGTCATTCACATCCAAGGGCGGCAGATCGTCTACAACGTTCTCCAATATTTAAAACGCGAGTTGAAACGTGAAGTCCAATTCTCTTGAAAGAAAGAATAAAAAAAAAATTATAGAAGAAAAATGTTGCATATTTTTAAAATATGTAAGCCTTTTGTCTGAAATAAAGCACATTTAGAAGTTTAAGAACTTATTCATAATATGATATATACTTGTATTAGCAGTAAATCAACATATTTTGCAATAGAAAAATATGAAATAAAAACCTTTAGGTACATTTTTACAGCAAAATTCGGATTGTACACAAATTCTATTCTTTTTTTTTTACTGAAATCCATTATATATTTTACAGATCATTGCTCAACATTTGAAGACCTTGCTGCAAAAAGGGGGTAACTTTTACAAAAGTGACTTTTACACCCTTACAACTGTGAACTAGACTATTCTGCATTGTTTAATGCAAATATGACTCAAAAATAACCTTTATGGAGTTAGCTCCTTTTTGCAGCAGGGTCCTTCAATTGCAGTCATTATCTAATGTTACAATATATTTCATAAAATAAAGAAAAAAACGCTTTACTATATTAGTTGACAGATGACAGATTTGGGAAGCATCCATAGACATTTAAGTTAACTTAAAGGTCTATGGAAGTGGCGGGTGTTTTTAGTTTCCATTTATTTATTAAATTGAATGGCGTCTGTCAGCGTCTCTTAAGGTCACCCGCCATGAGATATTAATACCACTATATATTAGTTATTAAAATCTCCTACTTTTTTCAAACAACATTTAAGATCGTGACTTCACGATGGTATAACCGATGTGCCAAGAATTACGAATGAATCCAACATCTGTTTTTAGGTTATATTTAATTTTCTATTCATTTTTAAAGAATTACAAATATTATAACTGTCAAAGAATTCGGAATTCTTATTTTTAGATATTCGTAAAACTTGACATGTCTATTATACATACCAAATTTTTATTACCACCTTTCTTAAAATGAATTGGTCAAAAATGCAGTAAACAATTATAGTCAACGGCAAAAAAATCGGAAAAAACCGGTGAATTATTCTGAATTGGTATAAACAAACAATTTTGATAAAAAGTAATTAAAAATAATTTGTTTATATTAATGGCGGACCGCCCTTATCGTTTATTGTGAAATGTATAACGTTACTCACCTCATCATTTTTTACTCATCTTCACATTTGATACCCAAGTCAAGGAGGCTGTGAAGAAATATGGAAAAAATTGCTTTTTGATTTCATCTTTGTTTATTAATCTTAAAGTCGGCGATGGATTATCATCACAAAAACATGGTAAAATTAAAGCCAGTAAAACACAAGCCCTCATTTTTATAACATTTATGATTACTTAATAATAAACGGAATTGTAATATAAAGAATTTATATCCATCTATTCTTTGTTTCGATTTTTCTTTAGTAATGTGGACCTGGATTAACATAAAATCAGGTTATTATTTGGTTAAAATTAACAAATATATTTTACTGTGTATACAAGTATACTCGTAGCTTGTTAATAAGGATTATTTTGTCCAGTCACCGCCGACGGTGGACTAGTGGTCAGTGCTGCTGACTACAAGCCGAGAGCTCGTGGGTTCGAATCCCACCAGGGGTATGGCCGTTTTATTTGTTTTTGTCCTATTGTGTATTAGTCCTTCGGAGGGGACTTTAAGCCCGAGGCCCGTTTATACCCCTAACCCGCACAAGCCATTTAGTTGGCTTCTGGGACTTCTTAGGAAGTAAGGAAGGAACTAAAAAGAGCACTTTAAAAATTACTAGGCAAGTTGAAAGAATTATGATTATTGTTTTGCTTTTTAAAACAATTAAATAATTGTTATTTTAAAAAGCTGGTAATTAATTATTTGGTTTCGCACAAAAAGGCTAATCCAAAGATAGGATTGCTAACGGCTAGTATTTGTTTAAATTTAAGTTTACTTAAAGGTAAAATCAATATTTCACGTGTAATTTTTTCAGATAGGTACTAAAAATTACAAATAATGATAGTACTTTTAGTTTATTAAAAGCATTAAATTTATATTATGTGTATTTATATGCATTTTTATTTAGGTAAATTTGTTTAGATTTTTTTTACTATAAATTTTAAAAATGATTAATGATTTTTATGTTAACATAAGCAACAAAATATTATAGTGAAGTGCAACCCCATAATAATATTAGTTCGTCATGTCTTTGGCATTGATAACATATAACCTCTTTTATCTAGAATTAAGAATCATTTAATTAAAATGCTGTTTTGTTTTCAAAAATTCCTTTCGTTTATAATTTTCTGTTATTTTTGGCTTTGTTTATTATAATTTTCACATTTCATTGAAAACTAATTGAGTATTTTAAAGACTACTAATTTTAAATGATAAAAATACCAAAAGCATATTAATATACAATACCAACATAATAAAATGTGCCCATTTCCAAAAAAAAGAAACTATATTCAAATTTTTATTTAAAGGTAATAGCATATCGTATACAATTCAAATATTAGTATTTTTATACATTCTTAATACACATAATTAGGATTACTTTTAGAACCCATATACTTCGATAAGAAGTCTGGGATCATTTAAAGGCATAACACCAAAAATAACTTGAGCATTTGGTCCAGCAATATCAATTCTTCGGGTGTACGCTCTATGCCTTCCAAAATTTAACACTCTTACGCTTGTAATAATTCTTCCATTTAACTGTCCCAACCATAGAAAATTCTGTTCATCTGAATACATATTTGGTAGTAAAGCCACGTCTCTTAATAGTAAACTGTCTCCATTTTGTCGAGGATTAGTAATAAGGTCGCCGAATGTTCCTCCATTGTCTGGTGGTATGATGTCAACAAATTTAGCCCATACTGTTTTCGGTTTTAATTCATCTGGAAAGAATTGCTTGTTGATCTCATCTTTGTTTATTAATCTTAAATTCGGCGAATGATTATTGTCACAAAAACATGGCAAAATTAAAGCCAGTAATAGAACACAAGCCCTCATTCTGATAGCACTTATGATTACTAAATAACAAACTGATCGTGATCAGAAGAATTTATATCTTTCAAGTCTTTGTTTCATATTTCATTTATTTTATTTTTCTTTAGCAAATATTATTGAACCATATTCTTATATATTGACGATGTAAATATTACTTCTATTGTATTGTTACACATTGATAATATTAAGTGTATATTTATTGTCCTTAAACTTTTTATTTTTATAAAAAAATCTAGCACTGCAATATTTACCAGGAAGAGTAAGCTGTAATGTTGCTAATTTTATTGCGTTTAAAGCCCATAATATTATTAAAAGTTTAATATAAGACAGTATTAAAGTTAAGGGTACATTAAAACATAGAACAGTAAGGCCACAAGGGAAACATTTTCTTTAAATTTGATTTTATTTTCACGAAAAGTTTACAAGTTTTAAGTTAGTTATTTTAAAGCAAAACTGTTCAAGTGTAATGTATAGTAATTACAAGTGTAATATATAGTAATTACTTTTAAAAAACTAATTATTATTTGTATTGGATATTAAAAAGTTTATTTTTATGTTAAAAAATGTTTGTAGTTTGTTACTTGCTGGGAAAGACTGTTTATTTTAAGTATACAATTCAATGTCGCCATGATGTCTACCAAGAGTTGTTTATCCAGTTCCACTTTGATCCTCAGTTCGAGTAGTTCAATTATAGGTTATATTACTTTTTCTAATATTGCATATTATTGACATTATTTGTTTCTTTTCTTGTATATAATAGTAACCAATATAACAGTGCCGCCAACCAACCGGAATAATAAACTCATTATTCACGTTGTTAGGCATCAGAAGAAAGTCAGATTATAATAAATTTCGTTATTAATGAAAATTACTTAATTGAAGTAAAAAAGCATAGTATTGTAGTCAAGATAATGAGCATTATTTACTCAGATAATAATATACTATTATTTTATGTTTGTAATAAAGAAATAGTATATTAAAGAACTAATGTCATAAGACGTCATTTTGTCGCACGCGGACAATTTATAAGACGAGCGACGAAGGAGCGAGTTTTATAATGGAAAAGTGCGACAAAAGGTCTTATGACATGAGTTCTTTATGCTATTTTATCTATTTTGCAAACATTTCATAAAACAAATTAATTTTATACCTTATATTTAATTTGGTTGAATTTTACTTCACATAGTTGGTATCACAGTTTGAAGTTTGAAAGGTCATTAACCTTTCAAACATTATCACATTCTTTCGCTATGGCGTCGTTAATTTACAATAAGTATTTACAATAAGCGGCTGTTAAAGAAGAAAAAAGGATTTTCTTTGGTGTTAAACAAAATTTATTGCACGAAAAGTCTCGTAAGTACTAGAAAACAAATCATAAAAATATTATAACCTATAGGTATTCAAAATTGTATTTTACCAGTAGCCAACCTATAAAATCAAAATTTTGGGTGGAATAAAGTACCTCATTAAAGAACCAAAAGCGGTGTTATAATGAAGTCATTATGAAACCAAAATAGATAAAAAATATTATTTTGCTTTTAATTTAAAAATGAAAATATGTAATCAAATTAAATTGTCAAAACGAAAACATTGTTGCAAAATATATTAAAACTTTATGCGACTTTTAACAGTGACAATTATAAAAAATTAATAAAGGTAGCAGATCGAAATTAAATTTTTTGTCTGTCACTCAAAACATTATTTCAATATTTAAAAATGTTTGATTTCACAGTGTAAAGTAATATTAAATTGTCAGTTATATTTTTCGTTTATTTTTGCATTAACGTTTTGTTGATGTTAATTAAAAATTTAATTTGTAGATATGGTAATATTATGATTTTGAATGTTAAATTAGATGGTATTGTTTTTACAATAATTGTTGGTGTCATTAAAAAATTTAATTTGTAGATATGGTATTATAATTTTAAATTATTTTTTCATACTGTATTTTCCATTTATAAAATATATTTTAATAAAATTTGGTTTTAAAAAGATGATTTATTTTTGTTCATTTATTATATTATTGTTATAAATTAAATTTGAATCAAAAAATTTGCTTTTTTATTTAACTTTTTTAGTATTGTGTAATATGATTTATTTTATAGTTATAAATATTTACAATAATTATTAAAAACCTTTGATTTATGAAAATTTTATTTTCTGGCTTATACACCCTGTACCCGAAATGTTTAAGAAAATTTAATTCCAGTGGATTGCCCTAGTGGTTGAAGTCACAGGGTGTTAAACAGTAAAGAATAGTTTTTAATTAAAAACTTTTAAACACTAAAAATTTACGACATTTTAACTATGGTTTTATTTGGCAATGTCCTAGTAGAATAAACAAATTTATGTTGCATTTTACTTACTCGCATAGATATGGATATTGCCGTTGGGTTTTCTTTAAAAAAATATGGTACGCCACTGATAATAATATGTTTTTTATAATTTTTTAAATTTTAAATTTTATTTTATACATTTTTTGCGGTTTCTTTATATCTTTTCACGAAATTAAACGTTTTGTTAATATAAGTTTATACAGAGCTTACACGTTAATAAATTCAACTAGAATAGAGAATGATTTAGAAAAAGACAGGAGAAGCAAAAAAATATAAAATTAAAAAATTATAAAAAAAAATGTTTACACCTTGTAACTTGGAAACGAAAACTTGAAAAACAGCTCAAAATTTCTGTAATAACATAATATATATTATCACAGGCCTGTGTATATTATACAATTGGTGCGACAAATTCAACTTTTATTATTTAAAAGATGTATAATAATAATGATAACAACAATATTATAAGTGTCAAAATGAATTGACCAAGTTTGTTATTTTAAGTTAGGGATTATTTATTTTACGTCAGGCTTGACAGAACCAAATACAGGATCCTTGTCAGGAAGTAGTAAGACCATTGATTAAATTCAAACACAATTAGTGCGACAAATTGATATGGGTTGTAGAGGATATGAAAACAAGTCATTTGAGTATAGAAACTGTTTGATAATGTTTAGTTTTGGCAAGAGAGACACAAATAAAAATGACCATTTAAAATTTTTATTTTAAAAAATCATAAAAATTGCTCAAAATACGTACATTCTGTTTATAATATTGTTGTTTATTGTTATGATGATTATAAATTAAACTAGCACTCTCATACCAAAAAATGTCCTATTTAATGAAAATATATGTATATTTCCTGTATATTTACAAATAATGAAGATGGACCAATTTTTTCTCGCGTCCATCATAGAAAAATACGTTCTTAATTGTTTTGTACTATATTTCCTAAGTTTCATCCTATAAATTAATATACTTTAACCACGCATATAATATTTTTTTTCGTGAATAATGATAAACATTATAAATTCCCTGCCTAACAACGTAAATAATGAACTCATTATTCACGTTGCTAGGCATCATTGATTGCGACTATAATAACATTTAAAATTGGTAAAAAGTGAGGTTATTCATTTGACAGATGTTAAATTTTATATAATTATTTTTTTTAAATCATTTAATTATCTACTTAATGGAGTCGATAAAGTATAGTATTAAACTCGAGATTATGCGCATTATTTACTAGAATGATTTAAGTCTCTCGTCTGGCGACTCGAGACGCCAACCTCATCCTCGTGAATACTAGCCTGCATTATCTCTCGTATAAAAATATACTATTTTCCACTCCCTCCTTTAAAACATCCTTTATCGTACATGTTTCCATGACCCTAAGTAATCTTTTAAATACACATTGGCAAGTTGAGGCTTTATGGCGTTTTAGTAAAGGGCTTTGTTGACATTTGTCAAATATCATACCATGAAGCTCCATCTGTCATAAAATCGTATAATAAAGTATAAAATAATAAGCATTAAAAACTTTTATCTCCACGCGGTCTATAATTTAAACTTTATTGTTGTCAACATTCGATAAAGAAATACCTTGTTATGGCCTAGGCCGATTAAAATTTTTATGAGGCAAGTAATTAGTTCGATTTTTTCTCGCTAGGGGTATTGTTTTGACAAATTAATCCAAGAAATCTAATCTAAGAAATTTACGTACTAAACTGGTTTAATTTATTTATAATAAGCAATAATTTGTTTGTTTTAATGTTAATGTTTAATATTTTTCATTAAATTATTGTAAAATTAAATATGAATAATAAAACAAAAAGTGAGTGAGGTTAGGCAACCAAGAAAACGCACGATTCTTTTTCTACGATTTAAATTATCTTTAAGTTTTAATTTGCTTTAAGTTTTCAGTAAAATTAAATGTTAAACATAGCTTAAACATTCCAAACTACCTATTTTTTAAATAAAAATCCAAACAAATTGAAATTAGATACCTACCTATTTATTAAACAATTAATTGAATTCAATGTAATAGCAAAAATCCATTTCTACTTAAATCATGTTACTGCTTCTAAAAGCAATAATAATTATTGTACATATAATGTAATCTTTAGCTAATAAATAAATGATATTATAAAAAAGTGAGGTTAGGCCGCTTTAATGTTGAATTAAATTGACCTATATAAAGTGCTTTAAAGATAAAATGTTGTATGCCATTCGGCCAAGAAGTGCCTTTTTGTGCTTTGCTCAATTGTAGGCCTCCGCTACGCGTCGGCCTTCAAACCTTGAGCTTAGCACAAGAAGCCTTACTTCTTAACCTAATGACATAAATAACTATTTAATAAAAGGCTTCTCAACACCAATATTTGAAAAGTTTATATAAATAAAGGTACGGGTCTTTATTGAATGAAGGTGCAGAATCTGGTATGCAAGGGGAGCGACCTGGGGCGAGAATAAGCCTTGCACTAGGCAGATACTCAACGGTATACCAGACTGAAATCTATGCCATTCTGATCTGCGCCCAAGAGAATCTTTAAAGGGGTTACTCTGGTAAATATATCTACATATGTAGCAACAGTCAAGCAGCACTCCAAATGGCGAGAACAACAAGGCTTCAGACAGTCAAGGATCTTTATAAAGGGCCCTACAAACTAC